CAGATAGGATATCAACATTGGTTCTTCGTTGATGATGATGAGACTATTCCAGCATTGTCAATTATGAGCTTTTGGTGTGCTCTTATTTGGTGAAACTCGTGATGCAATTCTGCTTTTGGTTCGAGGTCACGACTATCTGGTCTCATGTGTATGATGCTGTTTGAGTGCTGAAGTTCGCTATTGCTCATCTTCCTCGCAATTATTTGAGAAAGCCGAAGGGAGGTCGTTTCATTGTTTGTCTTTTGTCTTTTGTTTTTCGCAAATTTCTCTTTTTTGTGGACACTTCTTTTTCAATTTTAGGGTGTTTGGACTTGACACTTGTTTTCAATTTCAGGGTGGTTAGACTTGACATTCGGGCCCTCACTGCACTACTCTCCAAATGTGGAAAATGAGAATGAATCTTCTTCTAGAACGTGGAAAGATACATTGCCATCTTTTTTGTCTTTTGTGCATGTGGAGAGTAGTGCAGCGAGGCCCTTGTTTTCAACTTTTGGGTGGCGAGGATGTCCTCTGGGTCTCGATATATGCCGTCTTAGATGAATGTCACTTAGGGACTTCTGGGCACTGGTCGCCAAGGTGATGATCATTGGGATGAGTCTGATGACAGCGATGTAATTGAAGATTATGAAGAAAAGTGATCAACCCTGAAGAGGAATAACTGGACCATGTCTTATGTCATTTAATGTAAAAGGAGTATTTTCCATTTCATGAACATTGGAGGTGCAGTCCGCTGACGTTCACGGGTACGTTTTGCCACATTGTGTATGTTATGGCCTCACACCCTCATGCCTTGGGAACTCCATGGCGTCTCATACGTAAGCCAAGGCATATGCATGGGTGAGATCTGTATGGCCAGGGGACCAGGTGTGATGAGGGTGAAAACCTTTGCCTTAATTGATGTGTAAGGAGTATTTGCCGTTTCGTGAACATACTATGTCCTGTTGATTGATGTTCACGAGCACATAGTACGTGTATGTTAGTGAACATACTATGTCCTGTTGATTGACGTTCACGAGCACATAGTATGTGTATGTTAGGAACTTAGGACACAGTACGTGTATATTATTACTTTGCACCTTCATTCCTTGGAAACTTGCAAACCACATGGTATCTCTTATGGAAGCCAAGACCTATGCATGGGTGAGAAACT